ATCTTTTAACCATAGAGATGTCCTCTAGAAAACAACACCTTATTAGTTGTTAATTTAGTGCTTTTTGGCCAAGTATTTGTGTGTAGGAGAGGCTTATTTGCCACAAAGATAAGCGGCTTACACACAATCTTGAGCAAAGTTTGATTTAGAGAGAGAAATAAAGGGGTTTCTACATTTGCAATAAGGTTGTGGATGTTGTAACAAAAAAGGGAATGGGATGGATTTTGGGTTTTGATAGTTTTCTGTAAATGATTAATGGGGATCTTATAGTTTTAATGTAAATTTGGTAACATAGCTAAAGCTCCATCCATGTTATGGTGCTTGATTAGTTCTAATGAAACTCTAAAATCTCATATAAAGATTTTTTGGTTGGATTCCATGATATTTTTGTTTGAATTTGAATTTACATTAGAATTATATACTAAAATGGATAAATGATACAACTCTCATCAAAATGGGTTGTTGCAATTTTTTTTTTTGTTACTATTTTTTAAGCAACTTAAAATTATTGTTTTATATAATAAATAAATGATAAACGAAAACATTTTTTTATCAAATGAAATTACCTAATTAACAAAAATTATGCATGAGTAAAAAATTAAAATTATTATTTATATGTTATATAATATGAATGCCTAAAATTACTTGCAAAAAAGTGAAAGAAAATAAGACAATTAATGCACAATTGTTGCACTTGAGGCACAATTTAAGAGAAAGTCAAGCAACAATACACATGATAGTTTCCTCTCCACTAATGTGCTGTCAAATTGGCTTTCTAGTCTACTATAAATGTTGACATGTATTGATTCTAGTGCTTAGTGACCTCTTTTTCTGCTTTTGGTGTCTTTTATTCAAGCAACTATTATTTTTCTTTACTTTCTATGCATTGCACAGCTGGTGACAAAATATCATAATTCATCAATCAAAATCATGTACCCAAAATCAAAATAGAGAGAAAGTTAGAAGTTGCTTTTGGTCTAAGTGGGCTTAAAATGTCATAAAAAGTTACTATCAAGGGCTGATTTGAAACGAAAGTTAGTACAAGGTTTTATCAGAATAAATGACTTAATTGAGGGGCCAATATTAGGATTATTCCTAATTTTTAATGAATCAACCTTAGGTCTTCATCGATGAGAAAAAAAAAAAAAAAAAACCTTTGGTCTTTATCCAAGAACTTAAGCCAAGATAAGTGATTAATTTTTAATGGCTGCTTAAGGGGAATTGGAATCCATTTCTTATTGATTTGGGCATGAACTTATAACTAATTGATTCTATCGTTTGCTTAATTAAGTTTTGAAACAACTTCCATAGTTGAAGTTAACTACAACCATTATTTTTAAGAAAAAGTTGCTCTGTTTTTTTTTTTTTTGGTTATTTCCATTTTTGGACTGTCCACTTGTAGAGAAGACTTTGGCAAAAACTAAAAATACAATGGATTGAAAATTCGAAATGTCTCATTTGTCCTTGCTAAAATCTTTCTCCCCTTATCAATAGATTAGGATATTAAGGGTCAATTTTAAAACAAAAACATTCATTGTCTCATAAATAGAAATGAAAAATGAATCAATTAAATAAAACTATCCTAATTTAGTCAATGGGACAACTAAATATAGAAAATGAAGGGCATAAAAGTTATGCCATTGTATTTTACTAAAAAAATGTATTTGATATGCCACAAGGGTAACTTAGTAAAAAAAGAGTATTTGATATGCCATAGGGGTAATTTAATCGATTAAGAGTCTAAAATTCTAAGCTTGTGATTTGAAATTGAAATATTGAGTTGGGTAAGGTGAAATTTAAAAAAAGATGAGAGCTATCTTTTTTTATATAATCGATTATTACATATATATATATATATATATAAAGAGTTTTAAAAATAACACAGAATAGTAAAAGTTAGGATATCTAATCTCAACTACATAATTTATGAGACACATGTGAGACCTACATTAAATTTTATCTATCATGTAGTTGAGATTTGACATAATTTTCCACATCTCTTTATAATAATAGGTGTGTAGAGGAAAATTTTTAATAGCTATATCTTTTAGGTTGCCAATGAGGGACAACACTCTCATTTCTTTACCCACATTAGTTGCATATATACCAATGACCCAAATCTAATATTATCTCATATTTCTACTGAAAGAAAATTACCACTACACTACTTAAATAATTAACACTATTACCTAAATTTAGAAGTCTATTCTAAATTTCATTTTAATCTTCTATTAAAAAAAAATTACCACCAACTTATTACATCCTATTTCACTTGAAAATTGAAATTTGTATGTGCAACATTTTGCGTTTGTATCATTCATGAGGAAGTACACACATGTTTGTTCTTGCAGAAGGGAAAGGGATGGATTTAAATTCCCCACTCCTAAATATTATCTTAGATTGGAATCAGCATGTGCAAGATGTGTAAGCAGTTAGCACTTTTCTCACGGGATGGGACAAACAAAATTAATTTAGGCTTGTAATTTGGAGAGGAATCATTTTTTCTTCTTTTCTTTCTGGGACCTGATAATTGGCACCTTCTTGAGAAAGATACGAGACTGTTGCCATCTACATCTTGTTCTCTTTCTGGGTTTGTTTCCTCGGTTTTTAAATTGAAATCTGGAAAATACAACCTGTTTCTTGTCCTTTCAGAAAGACTAAGACCTCCACAGCACCGGGAAACCGGGGCTCCATGTGTATTGTCTCTTTAACATGTTAGGTCAAGAAAAAAAGTGTGCAATTGTAACTAATATATAAAAGTCATGAGCTTAATAACAATACTAATAGGATTAAACTTCTAATTTGATCTTTTAATTATTGTATAGACTCTTAAGTTAGTATTTAAACCAAAAAAATTGAACTAAAAATTTTTTTGATTTAGTTCATAAAGTTTTTAAATTTAACTTTAAGTTGGTTTGTTAATTCCAAAACAGTTGACATGTCCTGTTACTAACCTGACATGTTATTATCAAATAACAACTTTCTATCATTAAATAATAAATAAGTTATTTTTTTTTTATAATGAAAAAACTAACTTAAAACTAAATTTAAAAAACTTTAATGATCAAATCAAGAAAAATTTTAATTTGGAAATCAACTCAGGGATCCATATAATTATTAAAAAACCAAATTTAGAGTTTAATCTACTAATAATTTGAATTTAAATTTTTGAAAGTTATACAAATCTTGATGGCCCATGTTGATTATTATAGAACTCGGTTAAGTTCTTGATTTCTTATTGCTGTTAAATTCGCATTTTTTTTTTTAATTATTCACTCAACATGGTTCTTGATAGTTGCTAACAATTTTTTTATTAGAAGAATGCTTCATAACAATTCAAAATTTTCAATTAATAGGTTTGCTTTGCAGATGATGTAATTGAAGCACGGTGGAACCTTATATTTCAGTGTAGCAAGTACTATATTCAGACCACATAAGTGGTATCTAATCTAGACGTTCTTGAGGCAAAACCTCGAAGACAGCCGCTCAAGTACGATCCATCAACAAAGAAAACATGTTGCGCACGTAGTTTCTGAACGCTGGGAGTCAGGCAGCTAAGAACATTATAACAACGTTTTCAACACTGACAAGGGTTGTGAATTGTGTCAAAGAGAGAGCTACGGTTGTTAAAGGTGGCAGCTAATGAAGGCCTATAAGGTGGTCTTATTTTATTTTATTTTATTTTTTTAGAATATTTAAAGATAAATTATATTAAAAAATAATAATTTTTTTTAATCTCCCCTCATCAGTCTAAAAATTTAAATTTAATATTTTAAACTTAGAATATCAACTTTTTAATTAGTTTAATCACTTTTTGAGAATTAAAATGAAAACAAGGTGCAACACAAGGACTTCTAAGAAAATCACCTATCCTAATACTACCATCACCCAAGCACGCTTACAAAGCACCGATGGGTTCCAGTGATGAGATTGTTTGATGATCCAAAGAGAGCAGTGAATTGAAGTCCTTCGTGATGGTGGCTTTGAAGTTTGAGGGATCATCTTAACTTGGGAAGTCTCAGTTCCAACTTCGCCGGAAAATTGCCGATAAAATGATCTGCTACGTTTTGCTTTGCATGATTTTGAGGAGAATGATGATGAGGCTAAATGAATCATATAGGCATAAGATTGGATAATAACTTGTTAGCTCTGAGAGATACGGAAAGAAAAGGAAGGGTATTATTTTGATCAATTATGCAAATAAAATAATGTAATTAATTATTATAACCTTTCCTGTGCTCCCTTCATACCAAAGTAACATAAACGCAAGGGGAGAACATACCAATAATTTATTAGTTTTAGTAAAAAAAATTCAATTCTCCTTAAACAAAACTTCAAATTTGAGTCTTAAGTAAAATTTTAAATTCGGGTCTTGTAAGTAAAAAAACAGATACTGAAAGAATTTTCCCTTATAAGGTCTTATGTGACTCAATTCTAGATTAATCAAAATTCAATGTGATTGTTAGATATCAAAATGTTAGTATCAAAAATAAAAAACTAAAAACAAAAAACAAAAAAAAGAGGAGCAACATAAACTCAAACTTGAACATGTAGATGCACCTGTTTTGGATGATTTCAGGCTAAATAGTACCTACTGACAATAAGTCTCAGAATAAACGTTCAGTATCATTTCAATTGAAATAAGAAACCCGATTCTGAAAATGTTTTGAATTTGAAACTTCAACAGTAATGAGAGAACATAATTTCAAACTGTTAACCCTCTCCCTCTTAACCTCTGAACCCATGATCCATTAAGGCATGTTTGTTGTCTTGGATGGCAGCAGAAATGCTTAAAAAGCAGCCTTAGTTACTCATGATATAGATGTAGATTTTAGATCAGTCACGCTCACTAATGGCTGTCAAATGCTCATCAATTTCCTCAGTTGACAACACCCGGAAAATTGGATTATCTGCTCTGACCACCCCAACCTGCCGAACATCAAAAGATTACAGTTAGCATAATAGCGTCCATTGAAAGAGGAAAACAATATTTTCCTTAATGTGAATACTAAGGAGCAAAAGTATATCACACTCATTTGCACAATTCAGTCGTAACAATGACCATATATCCCATGTTATTACCAGTGACTGAAAAAGGTTAATACCTCTATCTCAGTAGCCTTGAAATCCTCTTGAAGAACGGATTGCAATGCAGAAATAGCAGTCTACAAAAGAGTAGCGATAAGCAACATTAGAAACATCAAATATAAAAGCACAAGGCCCATCAGAAACATGGGTTGCTTTGTAATAAGTTTTAAAAAAGAAGGAAAAGCTGTATATGCGTTTTCAATGTAGTATTTCCTGTAATTAAGAAAAACAATACCAATACACTATACTGGTTATGTTTTGCAATATTATACACTTTTTGGATTCAGAATAAGAAGATAACATATACATACCTGCACTGTTTCCTCATAAGAGAATGAAGGGTCATTCTTCATTTTCTTTTCCAAGAAATTGATTGCCTCTTGCTCTTTTGATCCAGCACTTGTAGCCTGAAACAGATAAGATTAATTCTAGAAGCAAAATTTACATTTGGAAGAGCAATGAATGATATCAGCCATAGACTCATAGAAAATGACCATAAAACAAAATACAAAGACAAGACTAACAATGAATCAGTGACTGATTATACAACTAAATTAGCAAACTACCTTATGGCCATAGAAATGGCCAGCTGGATCACACTTGTACAGTTGGGGTCCATTCTCCTCATCTATACCCAAGACCATGGCAACTTCACCAAAACGAAAACAAAGATGTCAAGGGTGAAGAAGGAAATTAGTAGGGAGAAACAAATATCTATTGGTAGAGATGTGGGTGCATGTATCAACAAACACAAAGGGTTTAAGATTTAGCACCAAATATTCAAATATAAATGACTGAAAAAATAATAATTATTACAGCATTACGAAGATTCCAAGCTTACCAACTCCAAGAGGTCTCATATAAGCATGCTGAGTATAAACCTGTGATTTGTCTGCAATCCTGCATCAATAAGAAATGTTATTTAAAATCAGATATATTTAGTTTTCTATTAAAATGGGCCTAAAATTCCAAAGATCATTGGCAATACAGAATTCAAAATGGTAAATGGAATAGAACAAGACAGCACAAGGAACTGTAAGCATGTAAAGTAAAGCATTAAATGCATTTCAGTCAATAAAGCAAAGCAAACTTAGAAAACAAGCATATAAGTTGGTGCTGAATTTACAGGCAAGCTCTCATCACAACAATGAGTCTTTTGATTACAGTAAAGTTATCCCAGCGATATCAAGATGATCCTTTGAAGAGCACAATCAACCTAATAGCATTAAGTTCAACATATGAAAAATATGAATCATTACCATTTGGCCAATACATCCACAGGCATTTCATATCCATATCTGAACCGAAACTCAGCTGCTTCATTTCTAGCTTGCTGGACCAAGGTCCTTGCATCAGCTGGAGAATGAGATACAAACAATTAATTAAGAACCCCCCACACTAATTTCTTTTTCACAGGAGCAACAAAATCAAGTTTTGAGCTAGTAATATAAATAACAAAGAAGAACAGCTGGACCAATATTTAATTCTATCATGAAAGATAGGCTGAATAATTATACAAAAAAAGCAAATCATGTAGTTTCTTTCATTATCTTCCACATCATTGATCTTTTTTATAGTTTTATGAAACAGGTTTCCATTCCACCCCCTTTTTGTCACTCTTTTGTAAATGTTTTAGTATCATCATCATGAATCAGACAAACAAACAGCGGAAACACTTTAGGCACATCCTCAACATGATGGAAAAAATAATACTGGTCTGGCCACTCACATAAAAAGTCATTAAAAAGTTATTAAGGATACATATTGTTTTTTTCATGCCCCTAAGCCTTAGATACCCCAAAATACAAATCACTTTCTTAATTTTGATAGATTCTATATGAGAAATAGCAAAGGATCCATTCTCAAGATTTTAGCTCATGCTCTTCATCTAGCTTCAGTAACCATTATCAAAAGGGCAATATAACATCTTCCTTCAGATACCCTACACCACACTTTAACCATTCAGTCAAACCTAAACATTACTAAAAGAAGAATGCTTAGTCCACCCTACAAGTCAGCATTGATAACATCTCCAGAAACCACTTATTCTCTAACCAAACACAATTGACACACTTCAAACTTAATAATCTCAAAGAAAACGAAAAGGGTAAAACAAAAAGGGTAAAAAAAAAAAGAAAGCTACAAAGAGAAACGAACCAGTCATGCCGGTGGCCAACAACCCAAGGAACTTGGTAATAGGGAAAAGATGGGTAACACTAGTCTGATCCAGAAGCTTGTCCTTCATAGTTAAATTCAACAAACATTAATACCCAGATTGAGTAAAAACCCTTGAAATAATTTACATAGCAAAAAAAGGCGAGCTTTGATAACAAAAAAGTAAATTACAGACCGGAACTTTCTTCTGAGTGACAACACACACAGAGTCCTTGCCACGGACACCAATCGACGTGATCCCAGCGGCTTTCACAGCCTTAAATGCATACTCTGCTCAATAAATCGTAAAGACAAAGAAATTAAATAAGAGCAAACACTGATGCGCTGATTTTTTTCGCCAGAAATTAAGGAAAAGCTACAAACTTTAAGGCGGAAAGAAAGATACAGACCCACTTGGAAGAGGCGACCCTCCGGCGAGAAGATAGTTATGTGGCGATCGTAGCCACCTCCACTTCCTCTACTCATATTTTGTTCCCTAGGGGATTTTCCGGGGGATTTGATTTAGGATCTCAACTTGAAGAGAAAGGCTTTTTCTCAATGAAATACGATGCGATACTCTGCAGTCAAGCCTTCTTAAAACTAGACTTTGCAGCCTTAGTTAACTCGCTGAAGAAGAAAGTTGGGTGAGTTCTCCAAAATACCCTCTTCATTTACACGACGTCGTTTTTGTGGTAGAAACATGATAGGGTTTATTTTTTAAAGGAGACTTTATTTTAAAAAAACTGTGCGATATTATAGAGACAATTTTTTTATATTATTTTTAAATAAATAAATATATTTAATATTATAAATTTTATATGAATAAAAAAAATAAATTATTTAAATGACATTTAAGATTGTATTAAAATATAGTATAAAAAATTATTTCAAAATCATTTCCCAAAATAATTATACAATCTAAATTGCAAAACTTATCTTATTAAATAGAGTAGGATTCCTAATATTGGGACTATTTTTTTCCTATTCAATGATTTTTATTTTATGAGATGTGAGCTCTTAATATTAAGAACTGTAATTCATCTAATAATTTAAGTTATACAATTTTATATAATCTCAATTATAAAATAGAGAATTCTATTTTATTATTGTAAGAATAATTCCTACATTAAAAATAAAATAAAATAACTTTAGCAGTAGTTCCTGTTAGTATGTTTTTAGCAGCCAAAATATACTTTGAGTTTGAAGGCAACAAACTAAGTTCATCCCTCAATTCAGTCAAAAAATTTTAGGTCATCAGCCTTTCATCAATCTGATCAATAAACTAGGAGTAAAACTTAATGATTAGTCTTTCTTCCAAACATAATGCAATCCACAGATAATAATTCTATTAAGCTATTAAGGATTTCTATGCAAGAGGTGATTTCATATATCAATTACTCTTTTATTAACAGCCTTACTGTTTACAGCCTTTAAAATGTGACACTCAAAAGAGTCAGAGCTCAAAATTCACAAGGAATGCCATATAAAATGGCAAGCTTAATTATTTAGGCAAAGTTACAATCAGCACAACTTGCAACCAAGGATCAATGGCAAGCTGATTCTCACTATATTTCTTCCAACTTAAAGGTATCAGTTTGCCCGATAGGATAAATGGGGATGCTTCCCTTATGCCAAAGACAAGGTGGCTGTCTTCTCTATGAAATCTTGTATGTCAAAAGCATCAGCAGCTGTCCTTGTAATTACACCCTGTACAAAAATAGTTATTTATCAGAAATTTATTAGGATTGATTTATAGTTTTAGTTTTCATCTTGAAATTGAATGCATAAGTTACCTTCTCTGTTATGATTCCGGCTATTAGATTAGCTGGGGTGACATCAAAAGCTGGGTTCCAGACACAGATTCCTGATGCAGCAATCTGTTCCCCAAGTCCCCCACGCGAGTTCAACAATTCCTTTGGAGATCTTTCCTCTATTATAATTTCTTCCCCAGAAGAAAGGGATAAATCGATGGAAGTCAGTGGTGCAGCAACATAAAATGGGATTTTATGATAATTTGCACATAAGGCAAGGCTGTATGTTCCAATCTTGTTAGCAGTATCACCTGTGTTTTGAGTTTAACGCATCAGTAGGGCATACTCCATTTGATACAAAGATAACAATAAATGAACCATTAAATGTACTGCAGTACCATTTGACGCCACACGATCAGCTCCTACAATGACAGCACTCACACGACCATCTTTCATTAGTGCAGCTGCAGCAGAATCGGCTATCAGAGTTGCAGGTATGTTCTCATGTACTAATTCAAAAGCTGTGAGTCGAGAACCCTGCAGTTAGAGTGAGTTAGATATATCTAAAATATTCACAAGAATATCAATTGTTTAAACATGGCTGAGCTGATGTGTATGATTCACAAGTTACGACTAAATACTACTTAACACAGATCATGGCAAACAACAAATGATGTTGCAGCTGCTCCTAGCACCAGTTTCGTTAATCAACTCAATGACAATACTTGGTAACTAAATAGGTACCTGATTGAATGGACGTGTTTCTGTGCAATAGGCCCTTTCCAACACTCCCTTAGCATGAAGGGCACGAATCACACCAAGGGCAGTACCATACCCAGCTGTTGCAAGACTGAGAAGACAAACAAATCAAAAGTTAGGGCAACACGAATACACATCAAGCCTGTTCTTTTCTTTTAGCCATCAAGTGCCAGTTAACTCGGTCAATCTCGCCATAAGATCAAAAACCTTCTTGCCAGTCAGAAAGAAAAAGACTGTGCAAGTTAAAAAAAAAAACATTAAACTAACACATTGAAATTAAAAGAACAGAGAAACAGGTAAAGTTTTACCTTCCAGTGTTGCAATGGGTCAAGACTGAAAACCTCTTTGAGTTTTCCAGATGCTGCTGAATGAAACTCGCACCATAAGACCCAATTGCTTTGTTTGAAGCAACATCATCCTTAAGCATAAGTTCCGCAGCTTCAATGTAAGCCTACAACATTGTAAAAGAAAGCAGGTTCCGCAGGCTGATTAGCAAAAAGTTGTTACTTCAAAATTCCATGCATTAAACTGTACCAAACAATAAGTAATCAGACTGAGCTATTTTCCCTGAAGAAGGATTTCATACAGGTAATGTTTAATGGTACCTGGAAAACAGCCTCGCTTTCTGTAGAAGCTGCAGCAGCCTTTAATACAACTTCTCTAAGTTTTGTAGCAGCATCTGCAAGATTCACTGCAGTTGGGCGACTGAGAAGACACAAAAGACAACCACATAATCAGCGCTGCAGCTTGAAGAAGAAAGTTAAAAAATTCCATGCTCAAGATCCTAACAGAATATCAAGTTCCACATGCAGTGATGCACATAAACAGGAAATATTACACAAACCAGTCACAATACCGACAACTAGTCTGTAAATAAAGAAGCTGATCATCCAACCAACAATTAGAAGCACCTTGAAACGAGATATTCCAATTTTATTGAAATGAAAGACGCAGCATAATCAGAAGTTCCACTAAAGTCCTTCAAGTTAGAAACTTCTACAGCAAGGGAAAGGGCCGCTGCAATGGCGATAGCAGGTGCCCCACGGACCACCATGTCCCGAATGGCATTCCTAAGACAAGAAAATGATATAATTTGGAATTCTAGCTGAGTATCACACTATTAGCCAATAAATAGGCATGGAGAAAACTATAAAAACGTAAAAGCTAGATACTTGACAAGGGGAGTTAGGATATATTACCACCCATCTGTTGCATCTTGAATAACCAAGTATATAGTTTCCAGAGGAAGCTTTCTCTGTTCAATAACAATCATAGTTCAAGTAAATAGACGCAATTAATCAACTAAGAAGTTCCTACCCTCAAGGTGTCTAAATGGTTAAGTCAAGAGCTTAAGACTTCAAGTTGAAATTCTCAAGTTCAAACCTTGAGACGGATGGTGGAGAGGGATTTGGGAAATGGAAAGCTATCCTGTTTATGACCCATCACCAAATATCAAAGAAACCTAAGAAGTTCCTCTTTTTAAATTGAATACAGTTCTATTACCATCATTCCTTTCAATCTTATTGCATAACTTCAAGCAGCTTCCATGAAAGAATCTACCCTATAAAATCTATACGTTTGTTCTCTGATAACAAAAGGGTATGACTCGAATCAAAAGAGCTAGAACCACAGAAATATCTTAAATCCCAGTTAGTTACAACATTAAATGAAAATACTGCTATTCTGATTTTCCCCGAGGAACGCATGTTAGGATGGAAAAAAGCATTAAAGAAAGAGGCCGACCTGATCGAGTAACTTAAGCGAGCCACGGTTGTAGCAGATAGACTGAAGAGTATTATCAACTTGGACTCCATTTCTGGAATTCGATTCGGACGCCATGGAATTGGTAGAAAACACAGAGATTGTCGGCGATCGTGGAGCCTGTTCGGAGGAGGAAAAGTAAGGGCTTAAACAGAGGACGATGCAAAGTTTGCTTTTTCAGCTTCTGCGAAGTGCGGTGTGTCACGGCTGCAGTGAACGAAAGAGGCCAAAAGAGCTGGAATGTGGAAGGTGTCAGATAAAGAGACCAGCGTAACGTTGGTTGATTTGTGGTTTCTTAATTGTGTGATTTTCTCATTATTTTACCCAAAAACCAAAAAAGATTCTTTCATTAAGAGGAAAGAAAAAAAATCCAAAAAGATCCTCGTTTGGTTGGTCCTCTTAATTTTATGATCTTAAATAAAGCACGAGGGTTTTAGAAAATGGATTTTTTTGTCCTGTATGATTTTAAGATACAGAATAAATATATAATAAATATATTTTTTAATAATTAATTTT